AGGCGCCCGTGACGAGCGCCACGCGCCCGGACCAGCGCTCCATGGCCGCGGCCCGGCCCGGCCCCGCCGCCGCCGCCGCGCACAATGCGCCGCCCGGCCCCGGACACGCCCACGAGCGCCGCGGGACACGCCCCCTCCGTGAAGATGGCCACGCCCCCTCCGCGGGGCCGGTCACGCCCCCGCAAGGGGGCCGCGCCCCCTACCACAACCACGCCTCCAAATGTAGATGACCACGCCCCTTTGTCGCAACCACGCCCCCTCCACGGCCACGCCTCCTGTTACAGCCACGCCCCCTGCASCTGGTACGCGTTGAGGGTGCCGGGTCTCTGCAAAAAGTATTGAAAAATCATCTTTTTTTTTTTTTTTCTCTCTCTATCTCTCTTTTCTCCCCTCTTCCTAGACTACTTCTGCTTCTGTGTTGCTGCAGGCAGAAGGATATGGCTAATAAGTGCAGCACTATCTTAGCTAACTGGCATCAACACTCGTCCCAGGAATATTCGCTCAGATCACAACTACCTCCCTGAAGCTACACAGACTGAAAGGGGAGCTCTCCCTCTGCATCAAAGAGCAAGAATTCAAACTGCTGGAAGTGAGTGGTTAAAGCAGAAACTGTACGCCAACTTTTACTATGCATATTAATAAATATTCTTTATTTAAATTTTGCACATTGCGCTTTAACATATTACATCCAAAACATTTTGCCAATGGATGTCTACTTTGTAAAATCTTATATTCAGCTCATTGTCATTCTGTACAGAATTATAGGTACAACATTACTTTGCCACTAGTTTGCTTCTTGTAAGTCTCACAGTAAGAGAAACATTTAATGAAAAGAGATGGTTTAAATTATAAGAGAGGCTTGCACAGCTACTCAACTAAAGATACAAGCCTGGAGAAAGAACAAAATTAATGAAGTCACCTCCACCAGCCTCCCCCCAAAGAAAAACAAGAAAAAAAAATCACATTAATTTAAGATAAAATTTTGCCATAAGTCACTAAATTAAGTTTTAGAAAGAGAAGGCGCAGTAGTCATCTTGAGAATTTCAATGAAAGACAGAGCTATTTTATTGTATTTAGTTTGCTCCAGCCGTTGTCAACCAACCGTTACAAATGGGCCTCTTGTGATCATTTAAGCGGCAGTATTTATTAAATTTCTCCTTCAGATGCTGTCGGTATTGTTCTCTATTGCTGTAAAAAGACTTGTTGTTTGCCATAAAGGACTGTATTTCATCTTGTGAGATAAAGATCTCCTCATCAGAAGTGCATTCAGATTCATCCTACAAATGAAAACAAGGACGTAAGAACTCGAGCCCTCCTATACCATACACCTATACCATACACCTGTCCTTCATTTTCACATGGTGTCCGTAGTTGTTCAGAAGACGTAATCTTCATATCACACCACCACAAGAAGTCTTAACTTGTTAATCCAGTCACTTGAATCACAGCGCTCTGCTACTTCTTGAATAAGAGGCAGCCTGGAGTCACGACCTCTAGCAAAATTACCTTCGGTCTTAGCTAGTTTCCACTGGGAGAGGAGAGCTTGTACTGGATGTTCACATGCAGTACGTAAAAGCAAGGAGAAGGGGAAGGAACGGAAGAAAATTGTCTATGGAATCTGTGCTGGGATTTGAGACAGGAAGGCAACAATAATGCAACATTTCAAGACATAATACAACTGTCAATAACGAATACTGATAATACAACTAAGTTGCAGCAATAAGCAATTCCTCCTTCCTTGCAAAGCAACAGAATTACTTACTTTACAGAGAAARTGTAAAAGCAAACAAACTAAATGCCAGGAGAGCAGGCTATGAGCCTCTGGCTCAGATATGTTACTTGCTGCAAGAGTTCTTCATTGACATTTGAGTTAAAAACCTCCACCCCAATGATTCCAAGCTACAATTTAAAAGCCGGAGTAAGTGGTTACTTACAAGGAGTTCCACTAAGCTCTTGGCACCTTTTCCAGTATCAGGAACAAGTGACGTTTCTGTGGGTTCAGCAAACTGTGACACATTTTTCATATGCTCAAACCAAGGCAACTGCTGCCCGCTTTTTTCTGAGCTACAGCAGCTTTCAGCATGTGTGTCTTTGGTCTTATCACGATGAAACTCTGTGTGCATATTTCCTGAGGTCTCTCTGTTACCTGGATCTGCAATACAGCTTCCAAGTTTCTGCATCTAAAAGTGAAAACATCTGTAGTCAACTACCAGCCAGATTAAAAATGAAAGAATTCAAGTTTCAGAAGGAGGTGAGAGGGGGGAAAAAAAAGCAAAAGAGTGCAAAAATATTTTGTCAATGAAGACTTTGCTTAATTCACAAGAGGCGTGGGAGGAGAGCAGCACGTTAATTCACAAAAATTTATTCTAGGAAGGACTTCCATTACAAAAGTTTGCATGGAGACAACATAGATCTTCTATGACATATCATTTGCTAAATTAGTCACCATCCAAATTGGAGATATGGTTAGCAATTTTACAATGCATGCAACTAAAAAGTATTGTGATGTAAGCTAAGATCCTTACATGTTCATTTTCACACTTCAAAGTTTTACTTTTCTTTTTCTTCTTTTTGTTTTTGCCTTTTGTGTTCTCTTCTGAATTAGCCCAACACTCCACACAGCTATCTCCATCCTCCTCTTTGTCATCACAGCGATGGACACATGAATCATCTCCTGTAAGAGACAGGGAAATGCATTCTCAGATACACTTTTTGTTTTGTACACTAAAACAATATTAAACTCTTGCCAAACCTACCATTTTCATCATGGTTACAAATGCCTTCCGTGCAGGCCACATCTGATCCCTCTCGAGATCCTGTTTCACTGCCCTCCATGCTAGATGAATAGCCACAGTCACTACCATTACAATGTGGAGACAAACCTGAGATGAAGTGAAAAATTACCGTCATCTCTAGCAGCTTTTACACATTCTTTATTAATACCTCTGCCAACAGGTGTTTCTTTAAATGTAAGAAAATAAACATTTTAGACCTCTAACTTTTTTAGAAGATTATCTGAACACCACTACCAGATGAATGAGTTTTAAAATGTGAAATTATGAAATTTGACATACCTTTCTTTATTTTAGGTGAGCCTAATAGGGTACCACTACTAGGACAGGTGCAAGAAGTGCTTTCATTAGTAACAATTACTTCTACACAATTGTTAGCCTCTTCTGCGCTACCGCAGGCGTTGCAACTATTTTCGATGAAATCTGAACTTTCCTTAAAACAAACAAACAAAAAATGCTGGTATTGAAAGTAGCTCAGCCAGCACCTTTCAAAAGAATAACCTTTCCGCGAATAACAACAGCCAACAGTGACTGATAATAGACACTTTCTTATGATTCTTCAGAAGTAAAAGACAATTCCAATTCTCTACTTTCCGAAAACACAATAATATGATCTGCAGTTAGCAGAATTTTAGTTTGGCCAAGATGTAGAATGATAACTAAATTTATTCATCAACCTGTTTAACCAAACACACACAAAAAAAGCTTCTCTAAAAAAAATTAACAGTAGTTGTCTTTGATTAGCATTTGAATTGGCATATTAGAGTGAACTTTAAGAAATGAAAATCCAAAAGACATTCTAGCATACTTAATCACATAGATTTAAGATTAAATTTATGACTTAAAAGAAACCAAAGAGTTCCAGCCAAATGTTTACAAAAAGACTTCACTAATCTGAAAAAGCAGATTCCAGTAGTTACCAAAACCAGTTCCCAGAAACAAAATACAGTAAAAGCCTCTTRAGCATTCTAAAATTCAGTACAGAGACGAGAAACAAAGCACCACATTAAAAGTCTAGTTATCTAGCACCTGTTAGCAGACACTAAGAGTTATCAATGTTTACCTTGGCTTGATTTATTTCCTTCTCTTCTGTTGTCTGCAAAGGAGCAGGGACCTCACACACACACTTATTTTTCCGCCTGTTCTTTCGTTTTTGGCGCTTCTTCTCTTGTTTAAGCTCTCGTACCCTTTCTTCTTCTGAAAACTCTTCGCAGAGCTGTTCCAATCGACTAATACCCTGCACTTTTTCCACAGCCATCTGTTTACAAGATTTTAGATCTATTTATAGATTTTAATCATAACTCAAGCTTTTACATTTATAAAGAAAAAGGAGAAGGAAAATAACTAACAACTACTTTTTATGTTAAAGTCACAGCAACACAACTATCGGTACCAGAAGAAAAACTGTCCATTCACATTTAGTCATTACACACTCTCTTTCAGCAGTCTAAATGTACATAGGAACATTTATTTAACTTAGGGCCCACATTCACAACTTTTAGTCAAAAGTAATGCACTTTTGTGGATCTGTATTTACACGATAGACGCTTTAATTATGTAACACAACACAGGGGAGAAACACAAATCTTCYGCAACTTTCCGACTAGGACAACCACTGAAAAAAGTCAGATCACTTAACTGATTTTTAAGCACTCAAATTTTTAAGGTGTAGGTAAGGCAGAAATACAGTATGCACCTAAATTCATATTAATGAACAGCAATATGCTCAAAACAGGTACAGATATGTCTGAAAAACACACCACCACAAAGGCAATTACGTGCCACAGTACGTCTAGTCCAACACAATTTCTCTTTTTCTGTTACTATAGAAGTAATGAATTTCCCCAATTCCCCAATTATGAATATAACAAGCAAAAAAGGTGAAGACACATCTACTGATATTTGTGTAAAATATACCTAGGGAATGTATTAAATAAATTCATCAGAGTTCTGTATAAAGTTCCAGAGCAGAGAGTTACAGGAAGTCTCTGAAGTTAGCCACGGAGCACTCCGAATGTCAGATTTAGCAGTCGTAGCTAATTCAAAAGCACATCCCCCATTTTTACTAATTACTCAAACTGTTGAACTGCTTAAACCTGCTGTAGCCAGAGCTGCTTCAAGAGCTAGAAGTAGCAGTAACCTCACTGTAAATGAAAAACAGAGAAAATCCTGCACACCGTAGTGTGTGTTAGGAGCAAAAGCAAATGAGTGCCCATCTCCAGYGTTTCAGGACACTTCACTGCAGATCGCAACTCTGCTTTAATATATATTGCTATTATACAGCTGCTGCCTACAGTTAACAAGGGATAAAACGCAAGACCTGGAAAGCTCCTTCCCTCCCAATGTTAGCAGAAAGCAGAAAAAGAATTTAGTGTAAATGCACACAGTTATTACAGTACTACAGGTGCACGTTAGATTTGCTACCTCAAAGCTTTTGCGTAAAGCATCGACGCCCAGGTAGAAAAGCATCTGCCAYGTTTGTTCCTCAGCTCGCAACTTTTGCCAGATTCGGTGCAATCTTTCATAAAGATGAATGCCCAGGCAGGTCAAAACTTCTTCTTGGGCTATGTCTATTGTCTTGGCATGTCTTTCTCTTCGTCTAAAGAAAAAGTCAATCCAAAGCATGGATRCTGTTAAAATAGCTGGAAGTCTACCAAAAGAGCAAAGCAGTTTAATGAAGTATTTCTTAAATGTACAACTGAAGATGTGTTTGCATGAACAGCTTTTTTAAATCAACTGCTACTGTGCTGCATGCAGATGTAAAATAGAAAAGACCAGGTCAAAATAAATAATAATTAGGAAACCACTACTTTCCTGACATATTCATCTGTGCAACGCCCTGTAAAGCTGTGCTACTCCTTCCACCCTGCGACTTCCAAGGGCATTACACTACCAGCCTCTGCTTACTGTTAGGAGAGGGTATCTGCAGAGTTTTAATGTCCAAGAGAAGCAGCCATTYAATTCCTAGAATATTTATTTTATAGCAAATATTTCAGCTTCCTGGACACTGTGTCAGTGTCAGTTAAAGTTCATCAACGCGCATGTAAGTTCATACATACTCACCTTGCAACAAAGTGTTTCAGTACTAATCTGTATCTACCATCTGTTAAGGAAAATAACTACAAAATGTTTTTCCCTCCTAGTCACGCAACTGTGACCTAGTTGTAAATTAAGCTCAGAATGGTATTTTTCATTAAAGAATTTTAAGATGCTAAAATAAGTTCAGAAACCAATACAATAAACGAATGGCTACAAAATTATGTTGAACACTTGGCATTCAGTACAACTTTCACCCAAGGCTCTCTTTCTATTTCACGTATTTTGAACACTTCAGTGAAAAGCGGGTAGCTCTAATGACTGAACAAATGAACTAGAAAACATTTAGCAATAACTTTCAGTCTCAGCATTAGAGCTAAATATACTTTAAAGTTAAAAGCATATATAAAGTCTTCACTATTTTGAAGCACTACCTTGCAAATATACTTCAATATAAATATTTACATTCAGAAGTTTAGCACACAGCAGAGGCAAAAAATCACTTTTGCAAAATACATTCAACAATAAAATAAAGAAGCAAAGCGCTAGATAGCCCACTCTAGCAAATTACATACTCATACCCTCCTGCGAACTCTGGTTCAGCTCGACCCAGCAGGTGTGCAATGAAATCTGTCTCGCAGCAGACGTGTATGTGACGCTCGTGGGGACAGCAGCGCAGGCCCTCGTAAAGTGCAGCGCAGTAGCCCTTTTCTTTGCTGCAGTCTAGCTCACCAATAAGAATATTGTAGGCCCGAAGTACTTTATTTTTGCAGTCAGTGCAAAACCTGTATCAAAACAGAACATAACACAACTGAATTCTTTTTCAAGCAGAAATTTAGAGCAGCCTAATCTAAGTTACAACATACTGAGCTACGCAATAGTACATGCTGTATTTAAACTAAGTTTACYGATGTTTATGTTACTTCAAAAGGTAAAATAGTAACACTGGGAGTAAGCCATGTAAGTTTATTATATAGACAACCTATGATATATTGTAAGTCTTTATATGAATTTTCACATTCCAAGGCATAAATCAGATAATGGTTAATATGAAGAAATTTATGGAAGGGTATATAATTCCATATTTGTTCAAAAATCAGGAATTTGGCAGTGAAATCCATTTTAGTACAAGCCGGCACAATATTCCTCAAGTAGCACACTCCAGGTTACTTTACAGCAATTAAATATACTCGAGTGACAAACAATGAGAAAAAAAGTTCTCTTTGTTGCCTGCTGTGCAAGATTCCTGTTTCAACTACTACAAATCTCTTTTAAATATATTTTGCATTATTAGGTTACTACACAGGCAGCCAAATGAAGTTTACTCATAACACAATGTATTCAGCTTAAACATGTGATAGCTCAAATAGCTATACTACTCTTTTATTAGTTATGAAGTCAATTATAATTAAAATAAAACCAGACTAAGCTCATTCTCTTTTAAAATAGTAGCCATCTTCAAGAAGCCACAAAGTTGCTAGCTATATTACTCTAAAAATGCGAGGCAGACAAGCTGCTCACATTTAACTTTCAGCTTGAAAAGCTTGCTCTTCGTGTCATCTCTGGAGAGGGCTTTTTCCTTCCCTATTTTGTCCAGTCACATGACAATATAAAGTGAAATATATTTTGATGTCTGATAGACATAAGACAACAGGCTAATTTATGTGCTGGAAGGAAATAAAACAGCAGGATTACTGCAGGTTAGCGTCAGGAATTCTGCCAACAAAATGTTTAATGTCACAGAAGATTAAAAGTTTCCACACTTTGTTTCCAAAGTGTTATTTCCACCACCACCCACACACCCATCTGCGCCCCCACAGCCTATATCAAAACCTTGAGACTACTGGAAATTAAAACTTTTTCAGCAGTATGATAACTGCCATACACATGCAACAGTAATTTAGTGGCCTATTTTTTTCCTGCAAGAGAGAAGTAACAGCACTTGCACTTAACACCTGTTTTAAAAGTCATTTATAAGCAACACCAAGCCTAAAAACCTCCTCCTGCTTCCATCAGTTAACCTCACATTATTCTGAATTTGCATATATTCCCTAAAAACCTAGAAAACTGTTCCAATAGAATGGGCTACTTCTTTTAGAAGAAACAGCTCAATTACCATCACAAAAAAAAAAGGAGTTCTGTGTGTAGAAAACATCAACTTGAACATTGTTTTACTAAGAATATACAAACTGAATACTAATTTTGCACTGAAAGGAACCCAAGATTCCCTCTCACACACACAAGTTGCAAGACTCCTGTATTCCTATTAAAATATGATGAAAAATACATAAAACATACTCAACCATCAACAACAATTTTATAATTTAATCCTAACAAAAAAAAAAAAAAGCATGAAATTTACACATATTGATTCTCAAGAACACGCAGCACGTATTACCCAACATGAAGGCCTCTGGATTCTCTTACTGTACCTGTGTTTTCGTAGATATGTTTCTAATGTTTCTAAAAGACAACTAGAATCAATTAAAACTACTTCATCCCTGCATTCCTGGGACATGAGTTCCCACACATCCATCCAACAGCCCCTGCAAAAAATACAATAAATCGTAAGGAACAAATAGTGGACATTATTCTTTTAGGAGGAGGGTAAAAGAAGCAAAATAAAGCATCTTTAGTTTACCTGACTGCTCCCTGGAAAGGTCCATAGTGGAAAGTGATCCTACACTTGCTSTCCTTCCTGCTGTCTTCACTAGTTTTCTTATCTGCATTTAATTTCTCTGTACTGAGTGTGCTACTGCTCCCTTCACTGTAGCACAGTATTAAAAAGAAGTTTTAAACCTATACTATAGGTTACCAAGTCTACTACAAGCTCGTTATTTTTCCTAAAAAAATGCTACTAAAACACTTCAGTACTCCTTAATTTACTCTGAATAGTGTATTGGCTAAGCCTGGACTTCCAGAAAAGCTAAGGACAGCCGAGATACAAGTTTTTTTGTCCACGCTCACAGACCCAGAATCATAATGATTTTAAAACATAGCTTTTTTTTTTTCCCCCCCCTCTCCTCCATATTATAACCTGAAGCATAAATGCATATGAGCTTTAACATTTTTGGAAAATTGCATTTCAAATGRCAATTTAAGAAAGTCATACTTCCACATCTCTGTCACCACAGAGAAATCATTTAAAAACCTACACTTATCRTCCAAAACTTGTTAAGAGCTTTACCCTAAAGCTACATACATTTACTGTACTTGAACTTGTATACATCAGAAATGCTATTTAAAAAGCTTATATTTTGCTGCATTAAGAGTAAGTCATGTTTACATTGACATTGTTGTTGACATTTTATCTGAAAAGTCATTTCTGCTTAAGCTCATGCATAGGTAAAATAGAGTAGGAAAAAAACACTCCTATTTAATAATTAGTACTTTTAAGAGTACRTATTTATACTATTATCTCTGTAAATTGCCAGATTTGTATTTGCATGTTTGTTTCTGAGAAGTTAAAAGCTCCTTAYCCCCAAACGAAACAGAACAGTGACAGAGAATGTCAAGCAACTCTCAGGTGGCATTAGCTTGTATTTGTAATTAGAGAACTTACATAATTAAATGCACAATTACAACTCAGAGCTTCTCTTTTTGGTTGTTTTTTTAACAAACGGACTAACAAAGGCACAATTTGCCCAAAGACATTTTTTCGCAATGAAGATGAGCAGAAGCTTCAAATGGATAAACTTATTTTGTAATATCATCCCCTATGACATCTCCCTGYCTAGGCTGTTAGCACATTTGCTTCCACTCCAGGCAGCAGATTTTACTTGGAGAAATATCAGTACTGATACACCGTGATCACTTCAGCAGCATAATAAATGAATATTGACTGAGCAAGCGGAATGCAAGCCACACTTCCTAAGTAAACTACACTGACGGTCCACACATCATGTGACCACATAAAGCCCAAAGCTTTACTTTTAATACATTAAAATATTGTTCTTCCACACATTACTATTAGCCTGTCACTGTYCAAAATACTACAGTGATTTAGTCTAGCATAAAGTGAGCAAATAAAAGCAACATGATCTATTCTTTCAGTTTCGCATTTATTTTGTTTGGCCAAAATGGTACATAGATTCCAGCATACACATTTTAAAATAGAAATAATTAAGATTACCATAAGCAAAATGAAGAGGTTTAACACTTTCATAAAGCTTCAAAATTACTTTTTCTTTCTTCTTCTTGTATATAAATCTATAKATTATTTTATTAAATATAAGCTTTAAACCAATTATATGAAACATCTGTAAATAGGAGATAATCACTATCTACTACTATTCTCAAGGAGTGCAAGTAAAATGAAGTGTCAAATTCCACATGCCTAACATCTCAGGGGAATCAGTCTAAACCCAAAGAGACTAAAGTCCACACAGAAAATTACAGGCCCTGAAACTGTAAACCCCAAACAATCTTTGACAGCCTGCATGCTTAACCAGAAACAGAACACAAGCGACTAGAAAAATGTCAATATGCAACAACTWACCATAGTGGTTCAATTCACTGGTCATCACCTCATTAAGACAAYGAACAAGATGCACGCCAGGCATTAATGCTGCCCAAAATTCCTGGGCATTCCTGTTCTTCTCCCTCACAAAACTTTTGAAATCTACCACAGCACAAATGGTTTGGACACTTCTACTCTGGCAAGCAAACCTCACGTGTAAGAACTGATCTCTGTGCTTAAGAAGTAACAAGTATCCGTAGTTCCATTCCTTAAAYAGTAGTTCCATATTTTAGATTGGATTCTGCACATTAAGCTTACCCCAAAGGTTTTGGTTTGTGCGTGTCCAGGGAGTGTAACTGACACCTCTTGTTCTTCTTGCTTTTGGGAATTGCATCTATCATATCATTCAGTTTGGACCTACAGAAAAATGCCAAAAGTGTAACTTTAATAGCATGAAAATATAATAATCCACAAAATTTAAAGGCAACAATTCAGCTCATGTGTCAGAGTACTCTAATGAACACTAAATCTAAATATTCTCTCCACATCCTCAATTACTTTTACTGTTTACTCATTATGAGCCACAAACTTGTAGCAGTCCAGGAAAGTAAAATTAAGATTGTTTCCACCCTTATATACTCTACAACCTAAAATAGCTACTACATGATTTTACTTCATAAATAATAAAACTGGAACAATGACAACTAGTGAAGTACTAAGTGCAAATTATCTGTTCCAAGTTATACCTGTCTTGGCTTCCAAATCTCTCTCCCCAGCTCTGCACTAACCTCTTCGCACTGGCCTGCTAAGTGGAGCACGAAGCAGCAGGAGCTGAAGCCAGCTGGAAGGCACAAGCACCCTGTGGTGAGCAGTCGCTGTCTGCTCTGTTGACAGCCGAAAAACAAATGGCACTGAGGCTACATATTGTGCTAGCCAAACGCAGAGGGTTTCCCTTCCCCAGTGTTACTGTTCTACTGTTCTACACGTACATGTTCTACTATGTACATTGTCTACTCAGAGTAGAGGGGTGAAGAAGCCTTTTTTTCCAGAGATCATGGAAAACTCACTGCACCTATTTGGAGACTAATGGCTAAGCATTTTAATACCGTCATCTTTCAGCTGCCATCAGAGCACTGCAACTGATAATACAAAAGATGAAGTCCTTTGGGTTTGGTTATTTTTTCTCCAGGTTAGGCAGACCAACAACTAGATTAACCTGACTGTATAAGACAGGCATGAGCTATCAGACGAAAACCTGCAATGATTCAGTATCTCTAACATGGAAGCTAACGAAGAACAACGTATGCAGAAGCTGCTTCTTCCTTTCCCCAGATGATAAGAGTGATGTGAAGGGTTTTAAGATAGTTGTGGGTTTAACTTACCCGTGCACATAAAATAGTGTATAAAGCTTCTTTGCATCAGTCATACAGCTTCGAGTTACAGAAAGAACCCCCTTTGGCCCTACTGTTAGGGGCTCAAGTGCTGGATTTCCAGACTCAACAAGTTGAGAAAACAGACGTTCCACGCTACGACGACAGCCAACACACGGGACCAACTGTGAAAGCGCACTCAAAACTTCACGTGATGTCACCATCATGGCAATATTTAGATCCTGTTGTTTAAGCATACTATGACGCTAAAAAGAGAGCAAGAAATAAAATAATTATTTTGGAGATCTTGAACTGTTCAAAGATTTCTCTGCYTTTAACTGCATTCCCTTTTTAAAATATACTTTAAATGGAAACTCTGTACAGTGCTCAGAGATGCAGGTCAATCTCTTACCACATATCACCTACAATACTTCAGGTATAAACAAAAGCATGCAAAATAATATGACAGAAGTAATTCTCCTTCAAATCTTAGGGTCTGTTCTCAACTATTTTTTTCTCCTCTTGTTCTCTCCTCATACCACTCAAAGCATCAGATACTTTTTTTTCCCAGAGGAACAGCACATTTGTCCCATCTTTAGCATCAAAGAGCCCACTGCTCCCCCTGAGCTCTCACATAAAACTCCAAAAGTTTTTACTCTCTGTGCAACTCATTTTTACAACGGGCACATACGTAGGAATTTTCTAAACTCTTAAGCACTAGCTAATAATTTGCACATATGGAAATCTTTTTAAAAATGAACCTATTTGGATGAAGACATGTTTAGCAATACTTTTTGTGGAAGACTACAGGTCATTTCACATCACCGATCAAACAAATGAATTACTATTCAGTATTAAGTGTTTTAATGAGGAACATCCAATGCATGCTAATAATGAAACATTAAAGAGAACATCATCTAATATTTCTTACACCAATAGACACCTTTAAGARCCTCTGCTGCTTCCTCTGCCAAACACATCCACATATAGATAAGCACATAATTTCTATTTCTTCTTGTAACTGCTGAATTACAGACTTGGACCTCAACAACACTGAATTTCCAGTAGCAGAACTGCACCAAGGAGAGAGTCCCTCCTCCACACACTGAACAACACACCCACACTCAATATCAGCACTATCAGCACTTTCCAGCTCCATCCATAAAAGCAGCGTTGTCAGTGTATTAACTGTGAGCATGATTTTTCCCTGGTTATACAAAATACAGCTTTGCCAACACAATTGTATCTACACAGGGAACATTTTGCCACAATTGTATTTTCTGTGTTATTGTTATACAATACCCATCAAACACTCCTAATGTAGGAAGSACTTATTACAATTACTGGAGAGAGAAAGAAGAAAACACCACACAATACAGCAAAAATAAATAATCCTATGGAAAGTATAAAGGCACAAACTGAAAAATATCTCCACTTCATCTTATTTCAACTCGTATTATAACAGGTAAAACTATTATTAGATGACATTTAAAGTTTGTACTCCTAAAAAAAGGGCACATTAAATAATTTGTCAAGTGGTATTTACTCTTCAGCAATCCTTCCCTTTTCAGTAATTAACAATACTAGTGACAGCAGCAGTAAAAACAAGCTATTCTCACAACACAGCTATGCTTTATGGGTAGCATATGCCTGAACTGCTGCAGTCAAGATCACACTGAAGTACAAGCTGCCAGTTCTTTCAGACACGAAGGAGCACTTTTTTTTATTTGCAACAATTTTAACAGTGTTAGAGGTATTTGTTAGTGTTAGCAGAAAAGTTTCCATTATTAAAGTTACACAGGACCACAAAACTGTCTTTCACTATTGAGCTAAAAACTATTTATAAACTAGCCCATTACTTCTATCTCAGTACAAATCGTAAGAATTTGATCTTTAAGCAACACACACTTCAGTAAGCAATTCAAAAGCATTTTGAAACAAACTAAAATATATTTAGAAACTGGAGTTTCCATTAAGTATAAACTAGCAGTGACCTGAAGATGCACTTTTTAATGAGTTTCTAATTCCAATTAAAGGTTCAGCAATCTCTTCCTGTAGAGACAGCAATATACAAAAGCTGTGACGCACAGAAAATGAATGCACCCAATGCACTTTGATACCAATATTTAATTGTATATAGGTGATAACATATCTCAAGAAATTTGTTACTACGTATAGTGACAGCCTCCTGGAAAATTAAGCGCATAAACCTAAGGAAAGTAAAATCTGATACACAAACTTTTTTYAAAAAAGACTGATGGATTTACCTGAATAAACTGCTTCAATTGCRCACCGTTATTCTGATGTCCATCAAGGTTTAGCACATTATCAGGAAATTCCATCACCATCTATGTGAGAAAGAGGAAAAAAAATAAGCTTTCAGAGAGTCAAACACAGAGCGGTTAGTTTATTTTACTTTCTGGAAGGAGCACTGGGAGTGGAGAAGATGACAGAAAGGATGTTATATCCTCATTCTTTTCACATCTCAATATTGAAAGCTTGGAGAAGGATAAAAATAGCTGTTAAGATAGTGAATGTTTTACCAATTTAACTAAATGCTTCACTAATATAAGGCAGAGGCAGTCTATAAACTACAACCCTTAAAAAGCTATTTTATGATGGAGCAAAAGTTACTATATGGAACATCAGTATTACACTATTTACATCACTTGAAACCATGTCTCAATTAAAATAATTAAAAATAAATTACTGTATTTCAACACACTGAAATCCAGATTGATCCAAAAGCCTACCTAAATATGTAGAGCTATGAAGAAACAATCACTACACTTTAAYGACTTTCAGCCTAATCATTCAAAGCGCTAATTTAAAACCGTATTAATTCAAGATACTCCAAGGTATACTTTGTTTTGTATGACTGCAGCTGCAATTCTCAAGTGGCTCAAACTAAAACGTTAAGCCTACAGACAATGTGATTCCTAGTAGAGTAATTAATAATATTTCTTTTCCTTTACCAGGCAAAAAAAGGCATTTTTTTCAGGGTGAAAAAAAAAGTAAATTAATTTTGCAGTCCAAAATCTAACATAACACACACAGAAAAAAAAGAAATAAACCAATTAGGTGGAATGAAGTATAAATGACTTATTTGTCTAAACTGAAAAATACAAAACATTTTAACATGTTAAACAACAGTTTAAAATCTGAAAGATCAAGTAACGTTGAAATTAGACCTACTCTAATAGCAGTCAACTACAAAATGAAATTGTGTGATGAATTCTTCACTTGCCTCCACCTTCCTTTAATTGACTGGTAAAGAAAGAACTCCCTGCTGTCTTCACAATTGCTGACATTATCTCCAGAGACCTGATATATTTAGTTTTGCAGGCACTTGATGTTGCTCCAAAATAAACATCTATTCTYTAAGGCCAGAGAGCAAGGCAGTTTATGATCCACCACGTGCAAGAACTGCAACAGTAGTGCAGCTTTCCGGTGTCTGTGCAGAACAGCGCTGCAGWCGGTGCTAATTCTGACCTCTCCCATATTCCTCTCTCCGACTTCTCTTTCCATGCCTCTGGCCCCCACACACTTACCAGCAGCACTAGTTTTTGCTACAGAATTACAGGTTTCCTACACTGTAAATGTGATGTTCCTGAGGGGATGAGCTACGTGCAAGCAAGAGCAGTACTGGCTTCAACGMAGAGAAGAGATAATTACTCTTTTTCTCCCTTCATCTCCTACTATCAGGACCACACCCCTAGGTGCTTTGTACCACAGAGTGAAATTATCAAAGACCAAATTAATTCATGCATTGGGTTGATGAGATTTTATTAACCAGTTAAACATGAACCACCATCATGCCCTGAACTGAGGAAAAAATCCCCCATAATACCACATCAAATGCAATATCTTCTAGAGATCATAAAGGCTGCTTAAAAAAAAAAGGGGGGGGGGTTTAAATATTCAACCTTCCTTTAATTTCTAGTTGAGAGATAAGAAACAGAAAAGTAAGAGTGAACAGACTTAGTGGAGCATTGCAACTAAGCAGTTTCTACAAAGCAATGTTAAAAGTCTAAAGCGTTATAAAGCATTCATTTACTAATTTGCCACCATTGATTCACTCCTCCTAGATTCAAGGCATAGATTAAGGCTTCCAAATGAATAACAGAAATCAAATTGTCATAACGTGTTTAGCTTCTGAGAGTCTTAAAAGCGGTCAACACTACAAACAACACAATTTTTAAGCAAATCTAAAGAGATAATATTACGTTTCAAAAACAACTACATGGCTTATAATAGTTCTTAGGAATTTAAATAGCAAATTACAGAATTTGTTTAGACTCCAAGACAAGGGAGTTAAGTTCATTCACCTGTTTCTACAGCTTCACTAAGTAAAAAGCTKTCAGATCACCTAGAAATTCAAGTGTTTTTTAACAGAAAAGAACAAAAAAACGGATGCAGGACAACATTTCTTTATGGTGAGGATGACTTGCACTTACATAAATGCCTTTCATCCAGCTGGATACAAAAGTGGTTTACAGCTATAGGAACTTCTTCAATCACGACTATGGCTTTTCTCTGGTGTAAAAAGTAAAATGATAATGATAACATCGTGCAACTGCAGAAAGCCTGGGGCAGGAAGTTAAATTCCTGGACTATAATCACAAATACAATTTTAGGTCTGCAGAAGTCATCTATCTCATGCCCATTATAGCCAAATTTCTGCGCTYTCTCTTAAGCTTTTAAGTACAAAAAAAAATCCCTCAGAAGAGCACAGTAAATACTCCAGTTGRAAAACCTATAATGAATCATTTTTATTAGGGAGTGGAGGGAGAAAAAGAAATCTTAAAACTATATGGGGAATGAAGAGAGGAAGTAATACTCGAGGAGCAGACAAGACACCAGGACCTCACAGCGTTCCTAGGTAATGCTGGGTTCCCAGCTGAGCAGCCGCTGCAGGGGAGCAAGGTCTCACTTTGGACAGCTCACGGGGAAACCGCGCTGAGCTCACACACACACACACACACACACACACGTGTAACCACGATGGCAGGCCACAAAAACCAAATAAAAACCAGTGAAGGGGAATCTCGTGCATGCACTTATTTATGATGATGAAAACAAAAACACAGCAGGGAATTTCAAGCGTAGGAAAAACGTGAGAGACGTAGACAGACAAGCCTGAACAGCAGGACAGCAGGAATGGGAAAAGGTAGAAACTGCCTGAAGACACTAGTTTTTTCCCCTGAAAAATGGGAGAAATTATGCCACAAAGTTGATGAGAAATACAGCATGTCAGCCATTCTCCCATTTTAAAAGGTGAGGAGGTTAAAGCGGATACATTTTATATCACTTAAATAACACAACAGTTACCGTCACAAGACATATCACTGAAAGTAAGGGGATCCCAAATAAATAAGACACCCAATTATAATATTATTTTCAACCCATTATTTTTGCAAGCACTGAGGTAGGTAGAGGAAAAATCTCCTCCATTTGTTCCCAATTCACTGGGCCACTTCTGAACCTCCCTTTAAACAAGYGAGAGAGAGGACATGAGACCACAGAGCCTGCAAATTACGTTTATTTATCTTGCTCAGTGTTCTGGAGAAAACAAAATTCCAATAATTTCCAATTCACAAACGACACTGAAACTGCTAGATTTGTTGGCAAAAACACGGAAGCAGGTAGTGCCAGCTTTAAAATACATGTTTTTGGACAAAGCCATTAAGAACATGGTGAGTTTTTCCTTGCTCACTTAGAGATTGGATTAACTAGTCACGAAGYTGGACTTTAAATCCTCGTTCTTTATTAGCTGAAAAAAAAAAAAATGGTTTAGCCTCACGCTTAGGCTTGAATCAGCCTTGGAAAATAATTATAAGCAGACCGCGACGAGCAGCAACTTTCTCCCCACCCTGTTTTTAGCGGTGCAGAGGGAAAATAATCAGATTACAGGGGAAAGGCGGGTTAGGCCGCGGTCCCGCGGGGCCGGCCCCGGAGGCCCGCGCGGCGCGGAGGCCTCGTCGGGCGGGTGCAGCAGCAGCAGCGCGGCGGGGCCGCACTCACCGTGAGGGTGTCGTCGATGTAGAGCGGGATCTGCCGCCGCTCGAAGGGGAACTCCTCCTCGCCGTCCCTGCACACGGCCACGAGCCGCGCCATCGCCGCCGCTTCCTGCGCGCTCCTGCCAACGGCCGCGGCGTAAAGAGCGGCGCCGCCTCCGCGCCGCACTTTCAGCAGCGGCGGAGCGAGCCTGCTTTACGCCAGCGCCCGATTCGACACGCCGCCGCCRCCACCCCCCCGCCTCCCTCCGCGGGTCCCGGGAGCCCCTCGCCGCTTCACGGGCAGGGCGGGCGGCCGCAGAGGCGCTGGAGGGACCGCCGAGCAGGAGGAGGAGGTGGCGGCCCCGGCCGTGCGCGCCGGGTAAAGTCCGGCGGCCGCCGCCTGCCCGCCGCTGCCGGGGCCG